TGCGTCCGTCAATGAAGATATTGTAGTTATTTTTGTATTTATCATACGCTTCGCAGTATTTGAGTTTCCATTCGTCTAAGCAAGGTTGTTCTGCTGAACTTCAACCAGGGATTTTATCGACTTCATGATGTTGACGGTCCAGGGATGTACGGCGGGGATCTTTTGACTTTCTATAGGAAGCCTCGAAATGTTGAGGGAGCTGAAGAGCGTAGCTACTTTATTATAGAAAGGTGTAGAACACGTGGATTTCCACTTCTAATTCCAGGAGATCATCATTACGTATTATCTTATTTAAGATGTTTTTGGCTTTAATTGCATATTTGATTGACAGGGTTTGTCTTCGAAATGAGAGGTTAGTTTCAGCCGCTTCGATAAGAATACTACCAATTGGACTTGTGTGAAAGCAACCAGTGCTTATTCTTAGTCCGCAATTGTGCAGTGTGTCCAGTTTTTGAGAGTTGAGTTGCAGCGCTGGAAATTATATACAATAGATCCGTAATCTATCTTACTTCTTATTAAGGCTTTATATGTAAGTAGTAAGGTATTTTTGTCTGATCCCCAGTTGTTGTGATTTAGACACTCTCAGGATGTTAAGTCGATTTTTGCATTCTGCGTATGTTTTAGAGATAGAGTTCTTGCATGTGAGCCTTTGTCAAATATAAGTTCCAGATTTTTGTATGTGTGACAGTCTTAATGGCTTTGTTGCCCAGGAATAGTTTCGGGTGGACGGGTTTAATTTTTTAAAAAATCATACATTCAGATTTGTCAGTCGAGAATTTGAACCGGTTTTCATTGACCATTTGTAATACAGTTTACAGCAGTTTGCATTAATTCATTGTTTGAATCGAAAGTTCCTTCCTTTGCATAGTAACACCATATCATCGGCGTATTTCCGCACGACAATGGGCTTACAATATCATCATCAGCATCATTTTATGGCGATTAAATAGAGTCACACTGAGCACTGATCCTTGCAGTAGCCCATTATTAAGTTTCTTAATTGTTTTGATAAATTATTTACCTATACGTAACTTGAATACATCTGTTGCTAATAAGTTGGTAAGGAACTTAAAACATATTGCCCTTGATACCAATACTAAGTAATTTTGAAGCTATGCGGTGTGTCCATACCAATATCGTATGCTTTTTCGATGTCTAGATTTACTAAGATAACATGCTGTCCTTGAAGAAAGGCATTCTTGATTTATCGTTGTCGTGCTGATAAGATGTGAGGTGGTGGAGTGTCCAGTTCTGAATCCAAATTGGTTGTGTCTTTTTAAATGTTGAAAGATTCAAGGAACCACTTATTCTTTTGTTAACGATTTTTTCTAATATTTTGCAATAGGTTGCAGGTCAGTGAGATTGGTCGGTAATTATAGCTATTTACTGGTCCTTGCCAGGTTTGGGAATCGGAATGAACTGTGGCAGTCTTTCAGAGTTCAGCAAAAAACATTATTTAGCCATATATGGTTTATATATTTTTAATAAAATGTTAATACCTCTCTTTGGAGATTTTTTATTTGGCAGTTTGGAATTTTGTCTGGGTCAGGAGCTGAGTTGTTGATCTTTTTTAAAACTTGTTGTAGTTCGTGCATTGAAAATTGGAGAATTCATGTCATTATCATAGATGCTGTCATCAATAGGTGTCATATTTGTTCACTTTCAGCTTTTTCTTTATAAGTGATGAATTCCGTATGGTAATTGGAAGTGCTAGAATTTTTCGTGAAAATTTCGGCAAATTCCTCAGCAATAATTTTGGGGTCTCTAATTATCTGTCATTGCAACCGCAAGAAATGTATAGTACTATTAGTCTTCATTACCACGTATGGATTTGATTTTTTCCAGCTCTCTGTTGAGTTCGATTGGCAGTTTATTGAGGAGATATATTCAGTCCATGATCTAGCTTTGTTTATTTTTACAGGTTCTGCGGGGCAATAAGCTCTAGTTCTCTATAGTTTGATTCGGCTATCATTATCTCTTCTTTTTTTATACGGTTAATGCTTTTTTACGTTTGAAATAGCGACTTTGCATTCAGGTTCCACCAGGGAACGCTTTTGGAACTTAAACGGGCGATGGTGCATTTGTGTCATTGAGTTAGCAGAATTGGATATGATATTACAGAAGGATTCTACTATCTGGTCAATGTTATTATCGTCCTTGAAAATATATTCTTTCGTTGAGGTGCTCATCCAATTTTTTTCTGATAACTCCAGCCAATTAATGTTCTTTTATATTGGGGATTGGTTGCGCCATTCAATGACTAATGGACACACTTGGTTCTGGATATCAATCAGTATTGGAAAATGATCACTATCGTAAGGGAGTCCATAACATTCCAGGTACATTTCTGTGCTATGTGGGAGAAGCTATGAAAGATCAATCGCACTTAGCCTGTTTGTTACTGATATTAATATGTGTGGGATCACCCAGAGTTGAGGATGATGCTGTCATGATCGTCAATTACTTTTTCCAATAATCGCCTCTTTTATCAATTTTGTTACGATCCCATAAGGAGTGATGGCAGTTAAAGTCTCCAAGAATTATGAAGGGCTTTTTATCTGGTTTATATAATCATGCATTCGATTTCTTGTAGTGGGTACCTATTAGGGATATAGATATTCCGATACATATGGGGTTAGTTGAATTAATTTTAATTGCCACGAATTCCATGTCAGTTTGAATTTTTAGAATTTCGATGGGAATCGATTTTTTGGAATATATTGCCAACTACCACAGTGCATAATCAGGATTGTTTCTATTTTTAAAGGTACATGTATTCCAGTTATTTTCCCATGTGATTTTCTTTAAAGTTTGTTTCTTGTATACATATTATTCAGGGCTATGTAGTTTGCACAAATATTGTAAGTTTTCTAGCCTGCTATAAAAGCCATTTAAATTCCATTGCAGGCTATCATTACTTCTTCTTTATGTTATACTCTACTTTCAGATGTGTCAGCATGGTTTAAATTCTATGGGGTGATTACATTAACTGGTGTTGTTTTTCTACACTGGAATCTGTTTCAGTACTTGATTCATCTGCAGTATTAATTACTGAGTTGATTTTCTTGATAATTCTGGTGAATCTGCCTTTTATGGTTTTGTTGGTGAGATGAGGATACAAATTATGCATCATTTTGGTGATAGATGATATGTCGTGTGAGTAATCAGCAGCTATAAGTATAGGATCATTAGCACTGAAAGAGTTCTCTAAAGAGATTTAAACTGAATGTAAGTTAGGGGAAGTTATTTTGAGTGTCTTCAATTATGTGTTTGATAGGGGTAATCAACTCTTCCATATTTCTTCTCTTTTTTCTTTTTTTTTCTTTTTTGGTTGTTTTGGAGACCTCTTCCATATTCGTTGTTTCAGTTGTGTTGCTTACAGTGGAGGGTAAGGAGGAGTCAGTCTGGAGGCATCTTTTATTATTATTATTATTATTATTATTAAGAAGAGCTACGTTGTCTTTAGTTGGGATTTCCTCATTGTTTTTAGCTTCATTAGTAGGAAATACAGATTTAGAAAGTAGTGAGGGACCAGTTGTGGGTATTTCTTTAGTAAGATCATTGTGACTTTGAATATCTACAGCTGCAGTGTTTTCTCCATTGATGGCAGGATCTGGTATGTCACAGGATTTTCCCCTGAATTGTTCAAGATCCATGGGAGCACTGCCTAAGTTGGTAGTCTTGTGTTGATTAGAGGTGTTTATGTGAGGGCATTGTCCAGCCAAGTGCCCTGTTTGGGTGACAGTTAAAGCAAGACATTTCATCAGTTGTAAAAAATATCCTATATGTTGAGCCATCATAATGCACAGTAGTAGAATCTGTTAGTAGACTCAAATCTTCAGGGCAATATACACTTCTCTACGGAAACTCATAATATGGGAGAAACCCTGTCCTGGAATACAAGCTTTTACAAATGAAATTTTAGATGCCAATTTGATATTCTTTGTGGTGAGTACATTTTCTATTACTGAATGTGGGATTATGGGACAAACGTTAGATATAATAATTCTTTTGGCCTTTGTTACAAGTGGTCGCAACTTCAGTTCATAGTTTTTTATTTTAATAACTTTATGGTTGTTCGTAAGGCTGTCGGCTATAGTTTGAGAGCTTAGAAAGATAACACACTCTGTTATTAGCAATTCTTGATATGAACCTTATTTCACTGGCGTCAATAATATCGGATAGACTGTTTATGTAATCTTAATAGTAAGACTTCTTGCGAGTCGATAATTATGGCCTGATCCTTGGTGGGAAACACTTCAGTTGACATGACATTTGCATAAGTTTTCATATTTGAGAGAGTAGATACCTGAGGTGACGGTGTTGAGGTTATAGGAGCCCTGATGTCCGGAGGCTCCATCCTTGCAGGTTAGCCGCGGCACCGGCTGACTATACAGTTGATTTCAGACACTCACAACTCGTGGGACAAAGAGATTACCGTAAGTAAACGTTATTAAGTTCACAAACTAAATGGAATGTGATGACAACTGTTTCACTGCACGCGATCGGAGCACGATGTGTCTCGGTCGTTGCCGCAATGGAACTCTGGAAGGAATTTTGGTCTGCGGAGCGTGAAGATTTTGGCTTGACTTGGTTGACAAGGTTGGTGGTTGATCGACAACAACAAGGTTTTCTTTACTTTTGAGACAATTGGGTACTGTATTTCTCTTTAAAACATTCTCAGTAATATGAACATACTGACGTTTTTTCAATACATTACAAGAAAAATCTTGGATATTGAATACCGGACATCTAAACTGCAAGAAACTATGGAATGTTTTGAGGAATTTAGAAGTAAATTTCAAAGCATTTGTCAAAATATTCCTTGTAAACTGATAAATAAACATGCACAAAAGAAAAGGAAAACTAGAGAAAGAAGTGAAGTCATGTTCAGAAGAGTTTTCAATTCACTAAGTAAATAAATCGATTTTCCGATTTTGAAAATTTCTTTTATTGCCCTTCTTGATTTCGCAAACTTAATGACCGATAAAGCATCTTACCTTGATAATTTTTTTCAAACCTTTTGAAAATTTTGGTTCGAACTTTGATTCAATACGCCTGAAAAATAAATTTAGTGTTGAGTACTTAAATCAAGATCACGATTTTCAAGGGAAATCTATCGATCAAATTGTAAAAATCATGAACAAGAGAGCCTTGAAGTGGGCCATGCCAGAAGTACAGCTTTAACTGTGCCATCAAGCTTAACTTCAGTTGAACGGTCTTTTTCCACCTTGAATACACGTAGAATGAAATCTTACTACAAATCTACTATGGGCCAAGAAAACATTACTTCGCTGCAAGTGATGTCGATTGAAAAGCAGTTACTTTGTAAACTTCGTAAAGATGTTCTCACGGGTCGTTTTTAAGATATTTCTGAAAAAATCTCGACAAATAGAGCTGACATTCCAGTAAACTTGATAAGTTCAATCAATTCTCCACAATTCAAATATGATGTAGACGTCCCTTTTAAGGAAAACTGTGACAGAGTTAGCTTCCATATGGTGTGGAATACTTACAGTAATATTCAGGATTCGCCATTGATTTAATCGATATATACTTTTTATTCGTGAAATAGTCTATCTGATTTCCACTCGTTTGTGATTTGAAACTTCTCAGATAAGTGTCGAACCACTTGTGAAATTACCTATGACAAAAAAATAATGTGTTAGGAAGCAGGTTATCAAAACATTGTGTGTATAACGACTAAACAGAGTCCCTGAATATATATGAGACATGATTTTGTGAAGGGTTATTTTTGGCAGACGAATTTTTGTAAAATTAATTTTACATTTTATAATTTTACATTTTTAAATATGGTTAGGGTCCATATTTTTTGACAGACGAATTATTGTAAAATTAATTTATTTTATAATCGTGCTCGTTCACAAAATAAAATAAATTAATTTTACAAGAAATGTCTGTCGATAAATATGGACCACATCCCTTCACAAAATCATAATTAATTAAAACAGACTAAAAGATGGAAACAAGTTATATGAGACATCTACAAAAAATACCAGTCGCTAGATCGCGTATATATTATTCAACCTACTGTACCGTAGCAAAAAGTAGAACTACCGTGCGTCATTACAAGGCCAGGACGCCTGGCCGGCTCGCTCCACCGCGAGTCCTCCAGAGAGGCCAGCAGTCGCTATCCAACGCCGGCGCAGAACACTCATCCCGATAACAGACCGCGCATCGGTATCGTTCGTTCTCGAACCGCATTCTTGCATTATCGCTCTCTGGGGGCACTGGTCTCGACGCCGTGAACGATTGGAACTAGTGTCTTCGGGTCTGGCTCTACGTATCACAATTAAGGCTCAACATCGCCAATATTCACATCTCGTGTGCATACACACGTGTTCATTTTTAGTTATCTATACCGATACAAGGGGAAACCCTAGAAAATAAGCACATGGTACACAGACAAGTGTGTGTACGAACGCACGTGAGATGGGAATCGGGGAAAGGTTGGGGAACGGAAAGTAGGTGACACGAAAGATCAATGCGACATGAAAATTGCGGCGTTTCACGGTCACTCGTGGGTACGCTTGCGTGAGGTTCTACCGTGAACTTCAAGCACCATTGTAAAAATATCGTTCTATGATTTTTTCCACCTACAGGCATTGAAGATGTGATGTGCAACGCGCTCTTTCCAGTGTGTGTACGAGGTAATGACAATAAGGATGTGGGACTCTCTGAAAAACCGAAGGTAGGCAAATGTCCTCAATATTGTCAGTTTTTAAAATGTGATATGCGTAATGTTCATGTTATATTTTGAATAACTGATGTGATTATAAATAATATTATTTCAGGAGGTGGTCATTTTAATTAAAAAGTAGTCAACTATTTTTTTACACGGTGAACGAAATCATTACTTTTGATACCGAATTCTTTGAAACTGAAAAATCGATTGATGGCAAAACGTCAGTCTATCCGCCCGTCTCTGGTCCTCAAAACCGTTCGGCCAATTTTCTCCGAAATTGGTATTCCCCATTCAATCTAAACAAACTTGAGGCCTTCTAATTTTTGAAACATCAAATATTCGAGCTCATTGATTAATATAACGTACAGACATTTTGTTGAAAATTTTAGTATTTTTCTCACAAATGGCTCCAATTTCTTCTTTACATTTTGTCAACAGATAGTGCTAAATTCACTGCTATAGATGCAATATAAACGTCATTTATCTGTATTATTTTTTTCAAAATATACAAATGTAATTTTTGTGATGAAAATCTCACGTCGTGAATATTTACACTTCTGGTAAAAAAATGTGTACACCATTGCACGTGCTTTAACTAACATATAGTTTTCACGAAAACGTAAGCATTTTCTGTGAAAATGTGCTCAAAATTTCTCCTTTTATGAAAGGTTTAAACGCTATTTTCTCAAAAACGTTTCCAGTTGTTTAAATACTTTTTTGACGAATAATTGGGTCTAAACGGAATGAATAACACGACTTGAATGCCATTTTGATGTATTCTTTTGTTTTTTCATACATCACACAAACGTATATTTTAAAAATATCTTTCACATTAATTACCATTACGACCGATAACTACCAATTTGATTATATTATTGCATTTATGAGAAGTGTTTCAAATGACGTGCAATGAAGTTTCTCGAAAACGTAAAAGTTTTTCGTGATGATGAAGTCAAATTTACTCACATTCGGAAACGCTCAAACGACGTTTTCTCACAAACGGCTCCACATTTTTCACCCAAAAGTTACGTATAGGAGAAGGTTATACTCTTCTGTAATATTCTTAAGTTACATTTCAGTTCTACCGTTAGAGGATCGAGAAATTGAGAAAATGGGAAAAAATGTCCTTTGAACGGAAACAGATTGCAGCTCTAATATTTTATTTATAGACATTTGTATCTGCAAGATAATGTTTTTAAATTTAATTCTTTTGGTGGATTGTGCTTATTACACACTTCGGAGAGTCCAATGAAGGCTTGTTGTATTGGGTAATATTCCGATTTTTTAAAGTTGTAACATAAGGTATAATATTGGAAGAATGTATTGATTTTGGACTGACGGTGAGGTAAATTGTTAGCCTCGAACGAATATGTTTGTTAATACGAATTGTTGCGCTGTAAGAATATGACAATTGTTTAATAATGCAATAGTTTCTAAAAATAGTACGTTTAAATACGTCCATATAAGTTACCTGAATAATTGGAACTGACACAACTATTAAAGCCATAAGAAATAGAAAATACTGGTAATACCATCATACAAAAAAAATCCAAGAAATTGTATTTATTCAAGGTGAAAATTGGATAAAAATTGAATCTGCTCGTAACCCATCCCTTAGAGAAATCGCTGGAAATGAGAAAGCTGATAAATCTGCAAAAGTGGCATCAAGATTTCTGTTTTGTTCCTAAATACGTAGCACTACAAAAGACATTTAAAAAACTCTTTAAGGCGACCAGTTTCAAATTGAATTTGACATCTTGATATGACCGGGAAAAGGCATGAAACTTCCTATAATATAGATAACAAGTTTATCACAATCCAAATCTGAAGTCATACCACAACAGACCAATTTTAATATGAACACAAGCAGATGTTCATCGGAAAGTGAGGGCGCCATTAGCGTTCGGTTTCGATTAGCGGCGAGTTATATGCAAGTGAAAGTCACGCGAGCATTACTAAAAGTGCACACACCTCCCAGGGCCTGTCATCTATCGAACAATATGAGAAAACTATAGAATGGTTAGGAGTGCTAATGATGTTAGTTTCGCCCAAAAAGTAACGTTCATCAATTTTGCACGTTATAAATTTGACGAGTGTTTGGGAACTACAAAATCCACCCACTATCCATATTGATTATATATGTACATAAGTACGGGGTTGTGTGATGCCCGTATCAGCACTCTTTCCTGCATCCCGGAAACCTGCGCTTGGCCCACGAGGCTTCTCTATACAGTGGGCAGCAAGTGCTAGATAATAAGCAGGGCGCACCAGCCCTATAGTGAGAGTTGTATGCTTCCAGGCACACGGGTAGCGATGCAGAGACGTGACATTGCGTGTGCGGCGAGGCGGGTGTGCCCGCCGGGCGTGCGTGTGCGCGTGGCGCGCAGGGGCTGCCTGGGGCGCTCGACAGGCCCCATCGTCGACCCGCTTAGCGCCGAGCGTCCGCCCCCCTCTACTCGCCCCCCACGCAAGTCCAAGCAGTTGCAGCCCCCGCGGAACGGCGTCCTCGCCATCGGCATGCAAAACGCCTTCTTGGCCGTGGCCGTCACCACACGTCTTCTCCCGGGCCAGCGCTTCAGGCGGAGAGACGGCCTTGGTTGCTCGACGCCTTTCCAAAAGGCAAGTGGTCTCTCAGAGCGAGGGTCTCTTGTAGCTTTACGGCTCACAAAATACATAGTTTGCGAAAGCAGGAAAGGAGTTGTGTGCCAGTATCCTTGTGCTCGACGCCTTCCAACAGAAAAGTGGTCTCTCAGAGCGAGGGTCTCTCGTAGATTCACGGCTCACAAAATCCATAATTTGCGAAATCAGGCAAAGGAGTTGTGTGCCAGTATCCTTGTGCTGGACGCCTTCCAACAGGCAAGTGCTCTCTCAGAGCGAGGGTCTCTCGTAGCTATACGGCTCACAAAATCCATAATTTGCGAAATCAGGCAAAGGAGTTGTGTGCCAGTGTCCTTGTACTCGACGCCTTCCAACAGGCGAGTGGTCTTCCAGAGTTAGGGTCTCTTGTAGCTGCACGGCTCACAAAATCCATAATTTGCAAAAACAGGCAAAGGAGTTGTGTTCCAGTATCCTTGTGCTGGACGCCTTCCAATAGGCAAGTGCTCTTTCAGAGCGAGTGTGTCTCGCAGCTATACTGCTCACAAAATCCATAATTTGCGAAAACAGGCAAAGGAGTTGTGTGCCAGTAACCTTGTGCTCGACGGGTTTCTATTTTGTAATAAATACTAACTATTCAATTCAGTAGTTATTTTGCCAAAAGAAACAATTTTTTATAACTCAGGAGCGGAAATATCTATTTTCAAATTTACTAACCTTGATTTGTCGGTACTTTTATTCATCAATTCAGGGTTAA